GATGTGCATTTTGATGAACTCATTTGCATGATACTTTGCCTTCGGTGCATGCTATATTAGGTGTATCTTCGAGCACCGATGCCCGCAATGTCTCCCTCACATGTGTTTGTGGCTCGATACTCGCATTCCTTAGAGCCTCTGAACCTGTGGAGTGTGCAACATGTATGCATTTGAGTTATGTCATTTGCATGTTGCTTGACGATCTTCCATCATGATTTCTCATACCACATTCAAGTAATCAAGATATTGAATCTTGTGTAATGCTTGCTTGCATTTGCATTTATCTGCATGCTTTGGTAACGAGCCAGACTAGGTAGGTGGGTGACCTAGTGTTGGTCGCGATGCTTTAAAGAGCATTGTTCATTGGGTAGATTTTGGGGAGCAGTGCGAGTTAAAGCATTAGGATTTACATATGTATGATTGTGCCAAGGATCTGAAGGATCTAACTTGTGTTGCATTGCATGTTATGGGTATGCATTTAATGATCCTATTTTAAAATAAAAATCACTTTTCAACTTATGATATTTATCCTAATTTTAGAACTATGCAAATAGCAAACTAGGCCATAAGTAAGACAAACTTTCTTTTTTAAAATCCATATTAGGTGACATTTGTTAATTCTCTTGGATCTTTAGGATGAAGTTGATGCGACGATCCCGTTAAAGTCATACATATCCGAAGACTTTATCTTGAGCACTTAGATGCTGGTTAGAACACTTTTCGTTAAATTATGTGTTAGGCTACGATTAGGGAGTTGGATAGTCTTTTTTGATGTCTGGCTATTATTCTTTGTTGGTTTGGTTGCCCTAACCATACATTATTTTGCTTGTGGTTTTTAATGTTTACTGAGTGTGGGCATGTGCAATATTATATTAGGGGCGATTTTCTTGTCGGGAGTCATGCCTATATATATACACATATATAATAAGGGGGATCAATGTCATGATTTATATTATAACTCTTTCTTGCAGGTGCTGCTATAAGCTCTCCCCGCCAGGCATGGCTTCTATGTGTTGCATGTTAACTCGTGCTAACATTTTCTGCAAGTCGAGTCATTTTTCTTTTATCATGTATTTGATATAGTCTTAAGATCGAGTCTGTATCGGAAAAAAGGTACAAGCACAAGTTTGTCGAATTACTTAATGGGGACCAGAAGCAGTAGCTCGTGTCCCGTACATTAATTCCATATTTATATTCTTGTATAGAATTAGATCTGGGCATGTATATGTAGAGTTCGACCGCATTTACTGCTTTCTTAGGAGATGCTGTCAACCCAATGACACCAATATGTTACTATATTTTGCTTGGTGCGCCTTGATTTTTGTTTTGTGATTGCTTTATCTTTGTGTTCCTTTCTGTTTGTTGTTTGTCTAATATTGATCACAAAAAATAATCTAGGTTCACTAAGGATCCTAAAATTTTAAACTTTATACAAAATGTTAATAATTAAATATTAAGATTAATTAAGATTTAATGTTAAAATATTTAGGACTTTTAAAACTTGCACTTTACTTTCCTAAATGGCCTTTAGGCCGGTTTTAAAATAGTTCGCATACATGACTATACACCCCATCACATTTAATAGGTCATCCACGATTGGGATGAGATAATTGCATCATATTGCAAGTCCCGAGGAGAAATCCCCGTGCTTCTCCAATCTAACTGACCAAGCATAAGTTTTATACTTAGGTGGTTGTCTAGCGCATTTAGGACGTTTGAGATTTCCCCAACCTTGATGGGGAGTAAGTCTAGCTGGAATTTTCTTTTTCGTTATTTTCAGCGGCTTCCTCACCATTTCAACAGATATAAGTCTCACCTATGTGAGCTATATCTTTATAGATCATATGATTTAAAGTTTCTTTCTTTTTGACTTTAGGGTTACCTAGGACTCATTGGACAACACAATTTACGAATTGCTTACAAGGGATCCCTGGTTGTGTTGGGTCGAGTACCTTTACGACTATGTAGACTTAGGGTCTTAATAACTTAGAATGACATATTCGTGGTATATTGACCCGATTATTTCTACCTGTTTCCTTTGTTGAGTCCCTTTAAGTCCTGTCATCCTTCTGACATCTCATTGATGTCTTCTAGTAGGCACCAATTGTGGATAGATCACCACTTATTTGTGATACGATGATTCACCCTCTATCATTATAACCCGGTTTGACCTTAGAAGCATCATGCGGACTTTATGAGTTGACCCGGTTATTTCATAGGCCCCGATTGTCGATAAGTCGTTACCTACTTGGGATGTAAGAAATTAACTCTCCGCTCTGTGACTTATTGAGAGCTTTGAGTATCAGAATGGTTATGTGAAATAAACATCCTTTTGGTGACCCATTCACCGGTTATCACAATAATGTAAGCAAAATTTCATTTATCAAGACTATTCTTGGGTATGTCTCATGATTTAATTTATCAAAGGGATACGTTCCTTTTGGAGTGTTTTTTACCTCGTAACAAAAATGTTCTTTTATGTTATATGGTTATGGGTGGCTTATGTAGCGATTTTCTTTGTGGATATCATGTTTCAATGTATTTTGATTCGATCTTATTTAGACATATACTCTCTACCAATCACACTAGCATTACCTCATATATAAGTATTTCATATTTCTTTTTAAAATTTGTTTGTCTATTTTTGTCGTATATACCGTCCTTTCCGATTGCTCTGACCTTTATATCATTTATTTGATTCGAGAGAAATATTTATTTGAAAAGAGAAATTAAATGACGACCATATATATATATATATAAACTTTGAGTTTTTTAAATGAATAAAAAACAACGATAGCCATAAAAAAAAAAAAAATTTCGGCCATCACAAAAAAAAAACGGCTTTCCTTAAGAAGAAAAATTCTCTCATATTTTCTTCTCTAATTAATACAAATTAAATATAATAAATTATTGCCTGAACTAGCTTTATATATATATATATATATATATATATACACACTGAAAAAAAAAAAAAAACAACCGAATTCCGTCTTACCCTTCACAATTCTTGACGTTCCGATTGCCTAAACGGTTAGGAAAAAAAAAAAAAAAAAACAACCGAATTCCGACTTGGCGTTGCCGTTCCCAATTTTTGACGTTCCGATTCCCAATTCCTGCCAAAAAAAAATACAAAAGTAATAAAATGCTTCAGATATTAATATTTTCAGATAATTAAATTAGCTCCACCCAAAAATAATAGTGGGCAACCACAAATTCCCATTATCCACAATAAATTTTGAAAAATGACATGAATCTCGATGTATATTTGAGTTTTGATAAAAAATCATCCAGAAGTCTGATTTTAGTATACTTACTGTCAAACTAACCGTGTTGACGAGACAGATCCAATAATCTTAAAATTAGTTTAATATGAATCAAATCAAGCATCGATTAAGACTATAAATCATAAAAGTTTTTTGACATATTTAGAAAATCAAATAAATGTCAAATTTGACAAGTTTACAGTCGTCAAATTTGACAAGTTTACAGTCGAATCTACTGTATCAAAAATACAAATCCAATGAGCCCAAAATTGTTTAATTCCAACATTTAATAAATACTCAAATGTCTATTAAATACCGTCTGATTAAAGAAAGTTCTACAGATCATCAAAGTGATTTATATTCCTGTATTAATTGCATTCAAAATTTTATAAATATAGCTCTACCCCTCTCATGAGAAGGGGAGTGCATTTGAAGCTTAAAGAAGACGAAAGTTTAAAGGAGTCAAAGTCCAGTATCACCTCGTTGCCGATCGCCATTGACCACCAGTTGTCGATTGCTCCCGACCACCAGTCATCGATCGTCGCCAACCACCACTCGCCGACTCCCACCTTTCAGCATCGGTCGCTGCTCACTTCTTACTCTTACGATAAGTTCATTCGCACACCGACTTTGTTGCTGGAAAATTGTGTTACCTATTCTCGCTCGTGGGACAAGAGATCATACTTATACTCTCCAATTTTTAGTGAATTTTTTCAGTTGAGTCAGTATCCGTGATTTTTTCCCTTTACGAATTTTCTATTTAAAACCTTTTGTTGTTTATACTGGTTGTTTTTCATTTATCCGAGTGTGTGCTGAATTCTCGTGCAATGTTAAGAAGATAATCTAAGAGTCTTTCACAACGAACTTTCTAACACGCATCAATTATCTTTTTTTTTTTTTGAAAAATAAAAATATTTATAATTCTCCTAGTAACTTTTCTACTAGTTTTTTCAAAAGCTTGCTCTATAGTGCTTTCAAATCAATATTATCTCAAATTTTGGTCGAAATTAAAAAAAAAAAATAAGGGCTCAAATTTTGGTTGAAATTTAAGAGTTATAATTTTGAAATAAATTATTGTGTGAGCGTTGATTCTTGATTTGTCCATTAGGACAACTAAGCAGCTTGATAGGGCAACCTAACAACGCAACTTGACAAGCCACCTTAGATATGTAGTTCTTCGGATTCTTTTGTATTTTCAGAAGATAGCTGTGAAAAAAATAAGAAAATAATACAACAAGAACAAGCCTTTATTTCACTAAGTGTGTTCAACTACATGAATTTTTTTCTCCATTACATCACATGAGTGTCATATTTTCATTTAATTCAAATTGATTAAGATCATACTTAAAACAATAAGCCCAAAGTATTTTTAGGTTAACTTGTGCCTTTCTTAATAAAAGTCAAATCTAAAACATTTACTCTCCTAATCGGATCATCAGATGATAGTCATTTAATGTGACCAAACCATCTAAGACGACTTTCTCTAGTCTTGTCTGCCACTGGAGCTGCATCAACCCTATCACGGATATATTCATTTCTCATTTTTTAAAAAAATAAGAAAATGATAAAAAAAAATAAATCCATTACTTAGTAGCGAGAGTTATAAATTAATTTTCTTTATAAGACGAGTTTAAATCCTGCATTGTCGATCTAATTGTGTGGTTGACATGCACGAGCTTAATTATAACAATTTTTATTGATAATATACTCCTCCATCAAGAAGGGTTTGTGCTGTTTATAGATGCTAGGATTGCCAAGCTCTCATAAGTGAGTTGATTCATGGTAGAAGTCATCTTGTAAGATTTGTTAAAAGGACTGTGAGTTCTTTAGATTTTTCTCTCCAAAAAAGAAAAAAAGTTTAGGGATTGTTTGATAGTCTGAAAAAAGTAATGTAAGATTATCGGCTGCTTTGGCGCTCTGGCTCTCGATCATCTCTAGCATTGTGCGATTAATCTTCCCCTTCTCATTCTTCTCTAACCATGCCCAAATCCTGCTCCGTCGCCGTCATCGGCGGCGGAGTCTCAGTCTCCGGGCTATGCGCCGCCCGCGAGCTCCTCCGCGAAGGCCACCGAGTCGTCGTCTTCGAAAAAACTAATCGCATTGGCGGCACCTGGGTCTACAATCCCTACACCGACTCCGATCCTTCGGGCCTCGATCCGGCACGACGGGTCGCTCAAGGTAACCTGTACCGCTCGCTCCGCACTAACATTCCTCGCCCGCTCATGGGTTTTTCTGACTACCCGTTCCCGGATCCCGAGGCGAGCTTTGGCGATCCTAGGGCTTTTCCTGGGCATGGCGAGGTTCTTGCTTTCGTTGAGACGTTTGCGCGCGAAGAAGGTCTGCTTGATGTAGTGAGGCTTGGGGTGGAGGTGGTTAGGGTGGAGCAGGTCGGGGAAAGGAAGGACGAGTGGGAGGTGGAGTGGCGGCAGACGACGGAGGCGACGGAGGCGAGGGAGACGGAGCTTTTTGAAGCTGTGGTCGTCTGCAATGGCCACAACTCAGAACTGCGGTTCGCAGATATTCCCGGTGAGGATTTTTTGTTTCCGTTTTGAAATTTATTCAAACAGCACAAGAACTTATTTACGAATGAATATTCGATCTAGAAAACTTTGAATTAAGTTTTTAATTCTGAAAATAAATAGAGATGTTTTAATTCTTTTTTTTATAAATAATAAAATTTCAGATGTAATGGAAAAAAAATCAGCATTATTTTTTAGCTGACTTTATGATTTTTTGGTTAATTGATTCCACGAAAATAAATTAGTGCAAACACTTGGGATGAAATTATGTAAGAAATCCCTGATCGGATTTACGGTATGATTATTTTGACTATAGATCTGACCCTGTTTTAGTATAAATTTCAATTAAATAGCTTAATAATTCTGAAGTGATTCTTTCATGAAATAATGTGGAGTGAAGTGTAAGCAATTATAATGCGTATTATATGTATAAATATATATTTTTTGATGCTTTGGATGGATAGTTATATTGGGAAATATGAGGGATACTTTAATGTCATATTAATGGGGAATGCACATTTTGCTGCACGTTTTTGATTTTATGCAAACTTCTTGTTTCACCATGCCATGTTTGCACTCTTTTTGTTGCACCAGTTTGCTCATTTTAGGGTCTGTTTGGGGCAGCTGCAGCTTATCCAGCTTCTGCTGATAAGCAGCTTATCCTGATAATCTGCTGATGAGCAGCTGATCCGGATAAGCTGTCTGGCTGTTTGGTTGGCGCTTATGGAAAACAGCTGATTGTGATAAATTGACCATTTTGCCCCTGTTCTGAATAAGCAGTTTAACTGTTTGGTTAGTGCGTTTTGTAAACAGCTTATTTGGAAGTTATTTTTCTTTAAATGTACAATCTGTGCAGCAGAATCTATTCTTCTCTAAACAAAATTAAAGATAAATATTCAGAGAAGAAAATACCAAAAAATTGAGTTATATTCAAATAACTACAGCATATCCGATCATATCAAACGAATATGTTACACATACAAAAGTCAAACACACATGTACATACTACTACATAGTATAATAAGAGCCCATAAAGAAAAAAAAATAACTTGTTAAAATGAACAGTAGAAATATGATAATGTTGACTTTATAATGTAGCAACATATCACGACCCATGCCACCTGCATCTGACACTCCAAAACCCTGAGCAACCTTGTCCAACGGCGATATTCTAGAAACTGAAGAACTCGAACCGCATGTGGCGTTCTCTTGTTGTGGCACTGTTGAACTCCTAGCAGTTGTGTCCAATTGGGAGCACGTAGAAATAGTTCCACTGTCGGCCCACCTGAAGAATTTGCAGTCGTCCGGTCCTTGTCCCCACCGCGGGCACCTGTAGAATTGTCGTCCGTAACTATGTGTCTGTCGCGATGTTAAAAGCAATGACGGTAGTCCACATCGACACATCATTTGTCCCAATTTTTCCTGAATATCTCGAGCTCATTGTCCTGCAATTATGTTAAAAAGCGTTAATCACTCAAAAATTTGAGGGCAAAAAAAAAAAGCATGTAAAGCTCTAAATAAAAAAAAAGGAAAAGAAAACGTCTCTTTGTATTCCACCTTCA